TCGGCGGCGAAGCTGAGGAGCCGTCGAGATTGGGACCATAGCCAACGGTCAAAACCGAAATCAACGGCCCTGATCTGTCCGATGCAAGCTGAGGAAGATGAAGAGCTTGAGCGTAGTAGCATAGATGGATCCTCGGATTTCATCTCTGATCTTCCCGACGAGTGCTTAGCTTGTATTTTTCAATCTCTTAGTCCCGGTGACCGTAAACGATGTTCTCTCGTTTGCCAGCGGTGGTTGGTCATCGAAGGACAGAGCCGTCACAGGCTCTCTCTCAACGCACAAGCAGATCTGCACCCTCTGATTCCTTCTATCTTCTCTCGCTTCGATTGCGTTACGAAATTGACTCTCAAATGTGACCGTAGATCCGTTAGCATCGGCGATGAAGCGCTTGTTCTAATCTCCGAGCGTTGCCGGAACATGACTCGCCTTAAGCTCCGAGCTTGCCGTGACTTGACCGATGCAGGAATGTCCGCGTTCGCTAAAAACTGCAGGAGTCTAAAGAAGCTCTCCTGTGGTTCTTGCACATTTGGAGCTAGGGGCATGAATGCCGTGCTAGACAACTGTCCATCTCTCGAGGAACTCTCCGTGAAACGACTTCGGGGCATCACCGATGGCGCTGCAGCTGAACCGATTGGGCCTGGTGTGGCGGCAGCGGCGTTGAAAAATATTTGCTTAAAAGAGCTTTATAATGGGCAGTGTTTTGGTCCGCTTATTATTGGTGCAAGGAATCTGAAATCTTTAAAACTTTTTAGATGCTCTGGTGATTGGGATAAGCTTTTCCCTCTCATAGTTGAACGGGTCACGGGTTTGGTAGAGATCCATATGGAGCGGATCCAAGTCAGCGATGTAGGTCTTGCGGCCATATCCAACTGTTCAAACCTGGAAATTCTTCATCTCGTTAAGACTCCCGAGTGTACTAATGTCGGACTCGCAGCTGTTGCAGAGAAATGTAAATTGTTAAGGAAGCTTCATGTTGATGGATGGAAAGCAAATCGGATAGGTGAACGAGGATTAATTGCTGTTGCAAAATCCTGCCCCAATTTGCAAGAATTAGTTCTTATTGGTGTTAATCCAACCAAACTGAGTTTGGAAATGTTGGCTTCAAATTGTCTGAATTTGGAACGATTGGCCTTATGCGGTAGTGATACAGTTGGTGATGCTGAGATATCATGCATTGCCATGAAGTGTTTAGCTTTAAAGAAGCTTTGTATTAAGAGCTGCCCTATTTCAGATCATGGAATGGAAGCACTTGCTACTGGTTGCCCTAATTTGATTAAAGTGAAGGTGAAGAAATGTAGAGGAGTTACCTCAGAAGGCGCAGATTGGTTAAGAGCAATTAGAGGATCGCTAACTGTTAATTTGGATATCGGCGAACAATTAGATGCAAGTGCTAGTGATGTTGGGGCACAAGATAATGGAGTTGAATTTCCTCCTATTGTGGCTGGTCAAATTGGAGTTCCTAGTATTGCTTCAAGCAGCACAGTTCGATCGACATCGTTTAAGTTTTTAGGACTTTTGGGTGGGAGGAGTTTCGTGGCAGGTACTTTGAGGAGGTTGGCAAGTACTAATGGCAGTTCTCGGAGTTAGTTTGGATGGATGAAGCGAAATTTCAATGACAAAAAAAAAGGGTAAAAAAATGAAAGTTCTTGGTCTTGAAATGTTTACATCATTTTTTGTATTGTAGTTCTCCCTTGTTTGTGTATTTAATTCAATGCTGTGAGCTGATGATTTCCTTTTGAATTCAATCTTCAATTCAACTTAATAGTTTCAATTTATCTTCTTTAATTTCTGTTGGTTCTAAGTTTCTTTATTTAGTAATTAGCAAAGCTTTCTGGGGTTTTCATTCTTCACAACTGTAGTTATCCTGTACTGGAATTTAAACAACAGTATTCTGATGCACTAACTAGATTTCTTTAATGTTTAGCTTCCAATTCTTTTGTTGCATATTGATATGGTAAATATGATACATATGGCTATTTCTGTTACTGGATCGCCGGGCAGGTTAGTTTTCTAAAGTATTAGTGTTTGATACCTATGTTCGACACATATTTGAACATGAGTATGTGGTATGATCCCCCAAATATACGAAAAGAACTTATAAACCGAGTATGCTTGTATTGGATGCGTACTTGTATCCAATACTTTAATGCTTCATTGATAGAGATTTCTGCTTTATATTCAATTTATATATCGAGTTTAAATAATTTCAATCTTCTGTTGCTGAAAGTTTCAAACATGATCGAAGGTAGAGATCAGGAGCTGGAACTATGAAACCAGTTAGACTTTTTGATTCGTGATTTTCATATTTTTAATGCAAATCAAAGCCAGATTTAAACATTTATGTTTTGATTCTATGGAAAGTGTTTTTTTAACGTTATTTGTGGTTTGATGATAAAAGATTTGATGGAGTGAATCTTATCAGTATTGCTTTGCAATGACTTGTTGATCTGTGAAGTGGCTTAATTGGTTAGAAATTGGTTTAGGATCATTCATGGAGTAGGTTATGGATCTTTAACAGATGAGGCATTACCATTACGAAGTTTTAGGTCGGATTTCATTCTGCTTTACGTGTCGATTGGATCTTGATTTAGTCTGTTGAATTCGAAATATTGTTAGGTCCAGGGTGAGTATTGTACAACATCTTTAAGGTGGGGTATGCCTACCGACTAATAATTCTAAACTCTGGGTGGGCTATCTCTTGTTTGAATTTGTATATTCCATCTTTAAAAAAACAAACAAAATTCAAACTTGGCTATGAAGATTGAGGATGCTTTTCAATTGGAGCCTCTCGCTCCTGCCCCTAGTGTCATCTCTTAATTCCCGCCTTTGGAATACAAAACTTAAAAATTTCTGGATATTATTAATTAATTTGCTTCTTTGTTAGTGTTCATGTTGAGATTGTGGTATCTAATGCTTGGGTGAATAGGGCAAGTTGAATTGATAATGGAGATCGTCTCCTGCAAGGCATTTCCACAATCTTTTGTCGACTTCTGAGGTGTCTCAATCCCTGACCTAACCCAATAATGGCCAACACTCTATTCGGTATTCAACCTAAATTACCATTCTATAATACATGTTACTTAAATTTTATTATAAGGGGATAGGATCTAATAAAAGAGTGTACTTTTTTTAATTTTATATTTATTTATGATCCATGGATCAGTATGAATTGTGGTTGAGATTATTCATTTCTTTTAAGTATTTTTTTTTTTATTTTCAACTTCTAATTTTAATAATCAAATTATATGACTTTTTTATTAATATAAGGTAAGTATAAGGTAGTAATTGTTCAAAGAACACGCTCGTTTATGGTGTTCGAATCCGGGATCTCAAAGAATAACAATAATTTCTTTACCACTGAACTCGTTTGGTTCGTGTAAAATGAAAAAAAAAATAACTTATGTAATTAGATCTTATATATTAAGAATATTATTATTTTTAATAATTATTGTATTTGAATTTAATAATTATTGTATTTGAATTTAATAATTGATTAGTTTTGATAAGATATTACATAAAAGCATTATTGTGACAATCTTTTTTATATGTTTAGCTAAGAGTTTTACGTTGTCAAAAAGAATTTCAGAACTGGGACGTGTTGTGATCTACTGGTTTCAAAGGAAATAGTTTGGTTCTAAAGAGAAACTGAGCTTCCCAATATTACTCTGCATTCTGCAATGTTTATTAGATACATTATTGAAGAGAAAGTTGCAACTGAACTTCGAAAAGAATAGGATCAATTTGACCAGCCAATATATATACAAAAGGTAAAAGAAACCATTTCGTCCCCCCTACATTTGTATATTTTTATGAATTTGAACTTTGATGTTTAAAATTAACCAAATGTAGGGGGACAAAGCAAGCAATGTTCAATTAAAGCTCAATGGCGTATATAATATTATCAATGGCGTTGTTTTTCCTGTATTCTACCTTTGGTTGCAGGTGTGACTCAAGGGGGTGAACCAATTTGGAACAAGTGTGAAGCTGATGAACCATGATAATGGGGCTCCTTGCGAATGGAGCTTCCCTGTTTTGCTGCAGAAGGGTTGTTCTCGTCAAAGGTCGTCATGGGGGCTCGATAGTCGATATTTGGCTGTATGAGGGATGGACTTTCAAAAGCAATCCATGAACCTGGGTATTGGTGATTTGGGGCAAGCTTTGGGAGATTTTAGCTCTGTTGTGTTTCTCTGTGTTAATTCGGATGTAATATATTCAAAGCTGTATCGAGTATTAGTAATTTAATAAAATTTTATGGACACTATTTTCCTTCTTTCGATGTTTGAACGTAATTTTAAATTCATATATGGAGCTTTTTAATGAGACATACTTTTCTTTCAAAAATAAATTTATTAGAAATAGAGGATTAAGAAAATCAATCATTGAGTTATTTTGTGTTTTTGTAATTGTTAAATCAGCCATTAATATTAAAATTGATCAAAACAACACAAAAGGATTAAGATTTTTAAATAAAAACAGTATAAAGATTTAATGTCAAAAAATTTAAATATGAGGAACTTTGAAATAGTTTAGGGGGCTTTGGCATGTTTAAACTTTTTTTCAAGAAAATAATAAGGTCAAAATGTTCTATAAGTCCTTATAATAGTATAAATTATATATTTAGTCCTTCTACTCTATTTGGTATTTTTAGTCATGTCCTCAAATTTTATAATTCCAGTTCTGACTTAAACGATAGTTATTAAATCTGCTAAATCATATTATGCCAATAGTTTATGTAATATACAGAAGTTTAACATTTAATTTTTGTTTTTGTTTAATTAAACATTAAATCACTATAATTTAATTATATTATTTTCGTACCATTTGGATTATGACTTAAATTTTAAAACTCAAAAGATATAAGGACTAGGAGACTATATTTACAACTTATTTATAATACAGAGACTAATACGCAATAAAAAATACATAATTGAACAAGGATAGATTAATGAACCTGTTGAATCCATTGCTAAATGATGATGACATAATATACAGAACGTGGAAATATTCTATATATATCCCAAATACACACCACCGATAAACATGAAACTATATACATAACTGGCATCTAGGTAACTTGTATAAACCATCTGACACGAGGGCTGGCAGTGTTATTGAACCAGAGAGACTGTTAAAGCTCAGTCGAGCTTCCTTCATCTTCTCCCTGTAAGCCATCAGCCACAGCATTGTCATACCACAGGCTACAAATTAAGCGATGTTCTTTCTGCCGAAATTTCCAAGTGCCGGAGTGCGCTTCAGTGCCTTCACTGCCAACGGGTTGCCCTTGCTCTACAAAACAAGAATTAGTAACTTCCAACAGGAATAAATAGAAGGATCGGCGGTTTGAATATGAGCGTACCATCAAGCAGGTGCCTTGTTTGACGTTGCAGATGGGGTAGTCATGTGGGCAGCAGCTTTCGTGGTCGTCGCAGCAAGTGGCGGCGTCGAGCGGACAGCATCCCCAAACGAAGCAGTAATTGTCATACTCGTAAAGGCAGCAACAGGTATTCTTCCGGGGACAACTATAATAAAGGTCACAGTCGATAATCGGCGAAGGGGGAGACGGGGGAGATGGTGGGGTTGGACCGGGATTCGGAGGGTTTGCACTTGTTTTGATCGGATACGAGGGATCCATTGTGATTCCACATTTGCCGGTCACGGCGTTGGCCACATTTCTCGCCATCCTGACATAGCCAGCCTCTCCCCAGTTGATTCCCCATGAGTTCTTTACAAGCCAATAGTCTTTACCCTTTTCTGAGCCGTATCCAACAACAGTCACACCATGGTCTAGTTGTGTTCCACAACTTCCATCAAATATACCCTTCAATAAAACAGTAAACGCACTATGAATTGTGTTGAAACCAGTTATATTGATTGACTCTGAGTCTTACCGATTCATATAACTGGAAACTCCTGCCTCCGGATTCAATGGCGACACTAATAGGTTGATTCGAAGCCGCCTTCTGCAACGCTCTCTCGTTATTTACCGGAACATCCTCATAACCATCGATCGAAACGACATTAGCTTTTTTCTGCAAGGTGATTAAGAGCATCAAGAGTCGGTAAGTAAAATGAAATTCTCTCTCTGTTGCATGTTCCAACTTGAAAATTATAAACTCTACCCTGTAAGAGTCACATCTACCGTCACGACCGGTGTAAGGGTAGTTTTCTTCGGTGTCGATACCTCCGTTTTTTATGATGAATTCGAAGGCATAGTCCATGAGACCCCCATTGCAACCTTCATTGTAGGATCTATCACAATCTACCAACTCTTGCTCGGATAGTGAAATGAGTTCGCCTGTAAAAAGCTTGTTTATCCCTTCAACTGCTGCAGTAGCCGAAAAGGCCCAGCAACTCCCTGTATTTAACATTGAATGGTCAGTAAAAAAAAATTCCTATAAAAAAAATTAATATTTGTACATATAAACTACAAACTTCCAGCTGACATATCTTCCATGGTGCAATTTACAGTGGAATAAGCCGTGAACCTTCGTGCAAGAGCAGCAAGACACCTTACTCTTACCCCACCGTAAGAAGACAACTCAAGTACAGACAGAGACTAGACAGACAGAAATACAACAAAATCTTTTATTGGCTCAAATAATTATCATTTCACTGAAAGTTAATTGCTACTTTTGAAAGAGCAGTAGGGGTGTACAGAGGGGTTAGCCGCTCACAGTAAAAACATCCCTTGCAAATGAAATACAGATACTAAGAAATTAAGATTGTATGACAATAGTTAATATAATTAAAAAAAAATTAAACTACCCCATCTATTATTTAGTTTATGTTTTAGTCACTCAACCCTTATATTTTTTTTAAAATTATACTTAATATTAATATTAATTTTATTTTGGTCCCTCGCCATTAAAAAATAGCACTGATACTAACTTGTCACATAATATAATGTCTCATCAATATTGAAAAACACTACTCCAGAATCACCATAAATTTTTTAATGGGAGTGATTAAAATAAAATAAAAAAATAACATTAGTTATGATTTTAAAAATAGTTTGATGACCAAAATCCAAATTAAGTAACATGTGGTGACCAAATATGTTATTTCTACAAAAAAGGGAACTTACCGCAAGCTCCTTGATCTTTGATTTCAGCGACGGCTCCTTTTTCTCTCCAGTCAACAAAATCAGGCAGCTCTTCACCGAGAATCGGCGCGTATCGATCACTCGCCTTTGAAAGCTTACGTCGGGGTTTCTTGACTCCCAAGTACGTGGCTCGGTACTCCTCGTTGGTCAAATCGGCGAACCGGTTCAACCCAACCTTAAAGCTGTAACTCTCATTGGCGTTGTGTTCGTCGATGAACCTAAGGTTATCCTTAAAAATCTGGAACCTCTTCTCTTTCTCTCCCAACCCGTTGTATGTTTTGCCATGCTTTACTAGCCATTCCTCGTACATGGCCCTAACTTTATCGTCTGTTCTCCAACTGGATTTTGACTTGTCGGCATGAGTTTCATCGTAGGATACAATGGACATGTTCGAAGCTGATGACAAAGTGAACATCATCAGAAAAAGCATCGCCATAGTCGACTGCTGACAACCCATGTTTTCTGAAAAGAGAAAATAAGGGATCAAAGTAATCAGATTTTGATTGTAGGGTAGAAGAAAAAGAGACAGTAGGTTTATAAAGAAAAAAAATTATTCTAACTGTAAAAACAAGAACTTAATAAACAGTTTAAGGGTAAAGTATAGTAATGTTCACTAAACTTTTTTAAAGTTTTTATTTAGGTTCTTCAACTTTTAAAACTTGTAATACAGTCCTCTAATATTTAGTCCGTTTACAATATGGTCCCCGACGTAATCGGCCATTTGACATCGTTACACTACCGCTAGTACGTTTGCAATATGATAACTGAACTTTTCAGGTGCTTGCATTTAGGTCCCTCAACTTTTAAAACTTGCAACATAGTCCTCAATTTTATTTTAAACCCTAAATTCCAAAATAATTCAATTATATTTTAAGCCCCAAATTCTAAAATACTTCAATTTGGGGTTTAAAATGTAATTAAAATATTTTGGAATTTGGGGTTTAGAATGTAATTGAAGTGTTTTGGAATTTTGAACATGAATTTGTTATTTGACAGTGTTTACTTCAATATAAATTTGAGGATTGTTGTATGCACATCCAACGGCTGTCGCACTTTGGACATGAAAAGTGCACCTATCACGTTTATTGCATAATCCGTTGAAGTAAAAGTAACAATGCCAGTTTGTCTTGTTCATAGCTGTCACACTTTGGTATGACAATCTAACAGGTTTGGATGGAACTTGAGCATGCACATTCAATGACTGTGAAAATAGAAAAGAGTTTTAGTTCATAAGACTACAACATATAGCCAAACAATAACTAAAATAAACCAAGAATATCAATTAATAACTCATTCAAAAGGAGAACTTAATAAATAAAGGGAAAGAGGTTCGGTCATAGTCACTCCAAAAGCTAAGAAGTCAAATGAGTTGTTTAAGATAGACATTAGATGCCAAATACAACATTACCAGTTGCAAATGCATTAATGACCTACCCTTTTAACATATAATTGCTTCTAATGTTCCATGTTTAATGTTCCTCAATAGCCAAACATGATGAGAATCTAAAACAGATAGCAGAACTAAAATCATAGGACCTCATAATTCTTGTAAATTCATGGCATGTCAACAATAAAAGACATTGTAAAACATAGAGGACACTACAACAAACATATATGTGCCAAAAATGAATGTTCAAATGTGCAATGAATAGACAACATATCAAGTAGTTGCTCCAAATATATTACCCTGTCATGATGTCTTTCGAGTTACGTGCATACATAATTGTCTTCTAAAGCTATAATTTAATACAGATTCAACTGTAAAATTTCCAAAACATGTAAAAAAATTCAATTCGTTCGCGATATATCAGTCACATAATCAACATGAACTTATTAAAAAGAATACGAGATCACAGGACACCAAAAACCACAGGTCGAATCAATACAATTCCAGTAAACTAATACCAGAAGTCTCTCGGATTGAGCTTGGCGATTTCACTATGTCGATACTCACAGTCAATTCCCTGATTTAAAGAAAAACCAAACAAGAAGATAAAAAAATTTAGCCGATGACCCTCTTTCACTTCTATTCTGATGGACTGGATATATTTCACAAGGAGTACTAAAAGTATTGATTAAGAAGAGTGAAAGAAAATTAAATGGTTTTGGTTCAAAACTAACACTGAATATCGAGATCCTTGACATGCAGTTCCATAAACATAAAAATTTCAGCAAAAAAACACACAATGCGAATTGAAAATGGGAAAGTGCGAAAGGGGAAAAGCTTACTTCCAGATAGCCCAAAAGAGAAAATAAATACCTTCTTGCAAGTGAGGGGAGAGGCTAAGAAATAAACACAATCGGTGTTGCGTTCCAGTAATTCTTCCTCCATTTTTTTCTTTGTAAATAAAATGCTGAATGATTGGGTTTATAAGTTTACATGGCGAAAAATTGAAGAACAAAAATCAAACCAGAGTTCATGTGAGCGAAAGAGACTGAGAGATGAATGCGCTGTTTGGGATTTCATTATATTTGATCATCTGTTGGAAAATCTTTAACCACAAGAATTAAATGAATAGTTTCTTATATGCCATTTATACAAAATAATTCTAGCTTTGTGGGTGACTTTCAACAATGATACTTAGTTCATCTTAGTAGTATTTGTCAACTCTGTATTTTTAACCCTTTTTTTCTCACAAGCATTTCATCGAACATCTATGTTTCACCTAAGATGACTTGTATCTAACATTACACCTTGAATCGTTGATGGTCTCGATAGTCCCTTGGTCGGGTCTTCTCTCAATGGACCTTTATTCAAATTAACACCTCCATATAATTCAAAGTTAGATTGGAATTTCTCATGCATCCCCGACTGAAAAGTCACGCTGAAAATGAGAAGATAGAAGCGAAAAAGGAAATTTGAGATCGAAAAGGAATTTGGGGTTTAGAATGAAATTGAGGATTGTGTTGCAAGTTTTAAAAGTTGAGAGACCTAAATGCAAGCAAATGAAAGGTTCAATGATCATATTGCAAACGTACTAACGACAGTGTAACAACGTCAAACGGCCGGTTACGTCGGGGACCATATTTCAAACAAACTAAATGTTGAAGGACTATATTGCAAGTTTTAAAAGTTGAGGGACTTAAATGAAAGCTTTAGAAAAGTCCAGGGACGATTACTATACTTTACCTATAATTTAAATACAATATAAAGAAACTTACAAATTAATTTTATTGGCAGAAAAAATATTAGTTTTAATAAAGTTCATAAGTTTAAATTATTGCTTTATATGACATGTGTGTATTACAATAATTAAAAATTATATTGAACATACATTATTTTGTAATTATCTCAGATTATTTAGAAAAATATGGTATAAAGAAAATCGTTTTTATTCATTATTATCCTATCGATCATACTTTCTTTCTTATTTTCATACTTAATTTATTTATTTTGTACCAATTATATTAGAGGTGAGTGTTTAAACAAGTAAGAAAATTAGTTTTATCCGAAGAGACGAATATTGTTTTATCATTCAAATGTTATTAATTTTTCCAAGTAAAATTTATGAAATTTGAGCCGAATCAAATATATTTGTTAGTCTTTCTATTCAAATTTAATTTTAATTATATATAATGTTATACCACTGATTTATTTTAATTTAAATGATTTTCTCTAATCGTATATATATATATATATATATATATATGTTAGGATTTGTGGAAGCTCGAATTGACAACCGAAACGGTTTGCAAAGAGGGGTCGGAACGGTTTTTGTGTTTAGGGAGTAAGTAGATTGAAAGATAGAAAATTGCACAACGATTTATAGTGGTTCGCCTTCTCAACCAAGTCTACATCCACTACCTTAGCTCCTCACCAAGGATTTTCCAACAAATTCACTAATTTGTTCTTTCTTTTTCAAGGACAAAGAGATAATCTTTACAAACTCACTAGTTTTTCACGGGCTAAACTAGAACCTTTCCCTTTTAGTAGGCTAAGCTAGAACCAAAACCCCTTTACAAAGGATAAAAGAAGTAAACAAATAAACCTCTCAAAGGTAGGTGTTTACAAGAATTAAGCTCACAAGAGCAATATTTACAAGAGAGAATCAAATTAAGAATGAAAAACTTCTTCTCTTGTGTTTGAATGCTTGGATAGTTGTTTTCTTGCTTCTTCAAGTGTCATCAGCTTGTATTTATAGCTTGAAATGAGTTTGAAGTCGTATATAGCCGTTGGAGATGTTTTGGAGCCGTTTGGGGATTGTTTTTCTACAAAAATAGGTTGCTCATAACAAGGTGTATCGGTACACTATCAAGGTGTATCGGTACCCCTTCATTAAATTCAAATAAACTAACTGTTACTAGCTGTTGCAGGGTGTATGGATACACTGCAGGGTGTATCAATACACTAGTGTATGGATACAATCATAGGTGTATCGGTACACTATTTGCATTCGGTATTTGAGCAGTCATAGGTGTATGGATACACTTGCAGGGTGTATTGATACACTAGTGTATGGATACACTGCAGGGTGTATGGATACCCTTTGACACCCTTTAGCATTTTTGCTCAAATCCGAATTTAATGGACTTTGAATTATTTTTGAAACTTCTTTAAAACTTTAAATAAATTCAATTCAAGTCCAAAAACATTTTGCCTTAAATTTGTTATATCGAAACATAATTCAACAATCTCCCCCTTTTTGATATAACAAAACATTTGAAAAATTGTTTTTGACAAAACTCCCCCTTAATAAAATGTTTAATGAAAAAGGTTACCAATTGTTGGAAAATATATGAAAATGTTAAGTTCCCCCTTTTTTCATTAAGAAATTGAATTTTTCAAACCAAACTTCTCCCCCTTTTTGTTATATAAAAAATAATTCAATCTTTGAAGTTCAAAATAACTTTGGAGAGTAAGTAGTAAATTTAACATTTAAAAATCATTTGAAAAATCAAAGCTCCTCCTCAATAAATGTATTCCAAACAAAATTTAGCTTCTGAGATCTTGACACTTAAACAAAATTGAATTTCAACAAAGAATAAAAAACATGTTAGTAGCACATGAAATTCAATATATCTAAGTCTAAAATACTTTATGCAATATCAATTGTTGAAATTAAGTGCATATGCATAAAGCATTTTCAAAAATATTATGCATTTAAAAAAATTTGATATCAATTTTTAGAGAGATGTCTTATACAATTTTAAGTACATGCACAAACATTTAAATTTAGGTCAAAAATTTTAAAATTTTGATATCAATTGTTAGAGATGTATCATTTACATTTAAAATCAAAGTATTTGAAAAGTTGATATCAATTGTTAGAGAGATATAATTTGCATTAAAACCAATTTTGACCAAAATTTTATTATAATGAACTAAAAAAAATTCTGAAAAAATCATTAAAACTTTAAAATGTTAATCGTAAAACCTTTTTAACATACATGAGATTAAAACAATAATACATAATAATTGAAAAAAAAACTCATGCATGATTAATCAAATGAGCAACCAAATAACCAAAATTAAAAACATTAAGCTTAGAGGTTACT